TATCACCTCATATTTTTCCCGTGGGTGTCGTAAGAATCGACTGAGGGATTTTGAGAGTTGATGAGTATTGCAATTTTAGGCGATAGGTTGAAAACCTGTCACCATGGTGATATACAGTCTTCTGAACGACTCTCAGACTCTTGTCAGACGTGGTGTAAATGCCGTTGATATTACGCTCTGCCTACCCCGCAAAACGTCTACTTAGTAGCATGCTCGTCCACGCCGCGCTTTGCGATGCATAACCGTCCCTTCCTAAATTCCAACCCTGTTGATATAATTTCCGTTCATATCTAAGAATAACCGTAATTTCTCTGTATATCTTAAACAGCATGCATGTAAGGCTACTATACATTACTATACATATTCATAAGATCCTCTATAATATAACACGCTCCGTTTTCTCCAGAAAATCTATTTGGAAGTTTCGTTTAAAACTCCTGAGGATTTCCTTCAGACAGCGCGGCGCGGATTTTGCATCTGTTCTTCTTGAAACAAAACAAAACAAAAAATCTCCACCAGGCAGGAGATTTATCTTTGTTCTTTAACGAAACTTCAAGGGTTGTTTTATTCAAAGTTTTCTGCTAGTTTTACGTGTACGGCCTTATAAAACAAACTATAAGTATTTTTATTTATTTTCTGGAAGAGACCTATCAAAATTGAAAAAATTTACTTTGTAGCACGTAGGTACATGCATTTGTGTTGGTTGGTTTGGTTGCGTATGGACGATATTTTTATACAGTAGAACTAGAAATTAGGTAGTGATATGATAAATGTGGTCCATCTTGATAAAGTCGGTGCTCGGGATTCGACAGTCGAAGATCTCCTGATGATGCTTCGTGGAGGAGCGAAACACGTGTAGAGCGTAAAACTGCTCGTGTTTTGCATTAAGTTGTGATCGTACGTGTGGTCCACTCAGTAGCATAACTTGCCATCATAAGCGCGGGAGAAGCTTAATATATTTCTATTACTTACCTACATAGAAGTATTTCTCTATCGTCAAAGAATTCTAATGCCTCTATTTTAATTTGTTCCTTACAAAGTGCCGGTTGCTTGTACTTATTGATTTAGTCGCCACCTTTTCTTAACATTGTGTGTTCTAAAAAGACAGTTTTTTGTCCAAATACAATACATAATGTGTTGCAAAACAGGAAAATTTGGAAATCTTGCCAAAACAAAATTAAAAGAAAAGCGACGCTCCAGCCTTCTTTCATAAAGGACCTTCATTCTTTCTATGCGGGGCTTGATTAAGTTTTCATAGACAGACCCTCGAGTCCCATTCTATACATGGCCGGGGGAAATAAACCCCATAATGAAGCTTGCGGTCAACATTGTTTGTGTCATATCATAGAAGAAAATTAGGCGTATTTTTCTCTTAAATAAAAATATGCCATCTAAGCCGCAGTCTTCACACGTGGCGTGAGACGTAAGTAAGATGACATCTGCCAGACAAGTGATCGTCGGCCGTCATCGATGCAACGCACGTCTCACGTGTGTAGTCGTCGTCTCTTGCGTTTCATACATTTTATATGGAAACAGTTTCGAGCGTGTAGCACGTCTCACGTCTTCGTCTTAGCCAGGATTGCTGCTGTCGGCAATACTCAAAGTGTAAGGAATAAGCACTTAAATCTGATACAAAAAAGTCACATGATTCTAAGCAAATTTTAATCCAAGAAATATGACGTTCGTGGCAACCAACTTCTTAGTTACCTTGACTTCCTCTCAGATTCCGGTTATTTCCAGATAAAGTCAGTAAGCGTCAAAATCATCGCTAGTATTGAGTGAGCCATCTGTCAAAGCGCTCCGCGCGCCGTTTCCCTAATTTGTTGTTTATTTGTGTCTGAATCTAGTACAAATAGATGTAAGAATTTTGACGTTTTATAAAGAAATATGCTAGGTATTCTATCTTCCGAGAATAAAAAATCTTGCGTCACATTTCTATTCCAGTAAAATCTCTTGCGGATTTCTTGAAACAAAGAGTGGGTAGGACAAAACAACTTATGCTTACGAAAATAGCTAGGTTTCGTTAGAAAAAATACATTGTTATAGCTGAATGTATATGTATTGATTAATTATCACAACAAAAAAATCTTTTAGGTAGGCATGCAGTAGAAAATTTAGGAATTATTAAGACGGCTGCTATATTTAGTACGAAAAGAAAGAATAGGCTACCGAGTCATAATAAAAGGTAAAATGATTTTCGAATATTAAAAATATCTCTAAAACGTGATTCATTTAATGTGTAGACTAAAACGCTGCTGTTAGTACACTTATTATTATAATAAAAAACATCGAAATATGAGGTATTTTTTACTCATTTTAAGTATTGAACCGGGTCTATCGCGATAATTATTTAGGTAAACCTTTATAATTTACCTGTGTCCCGACGTTTCAACACAGTTTCATGTGTTGTGGTCGCGGGTTGACTAAGGTCCCAGCGAGATGTCATCTAGGCGGTGGGCGACGAGTTCTTCTGCTACCCACATATGTCTTTAGAATTTTGATATTTTATTAATTGTTTGTAAACACTGCACTAGGCCGGCACACAACACTCACAGTATCCGACGATTGCACCGATGATAAATCGCGCGGTTTCAACTTGTCAATCACTGGACTCCATGCGGATGACAATTTAAACCCGTCCTCTCGGTTGAAATTATTTGGGTTTTTCTTAATTTCAATAGCCTCGCGGACGATCCTTGGGTAATAGACCCTGGGACTTGGGCGATAGACCCGGTTCAATACTTAAAATGTGTGAAAACAATCGCGAGTGCTTCAAAAGTTGTATTTTTTACTGTCCCGAAAATAGCAGCAGAGGGTATAAAAGCACTTTTAATGTCAAGAAACACTTTACCAAAAGACCCTGTATAAATGTCTGCTTATACGCGTCTCTCTCTCTTCGTGTGGGACACCGAGTCGTCCAACGACCTGATGGACCCTGGTGTCAGAGGTTTTCAACCACCTACTCTGACATGGTTGTGTAATGACCGCCATCATAGACAGCAACCGGGACCGACGACTTAACGTGCCCATCCGAAGCATGTAACCATCTTGCTTTTCGGACAATCAGGTGGTTCAGCCTGCAATGTCCTAACTAGACTGGAAACAATTTCACAAAGTGATAAATATCAACTTTGTGAGTGACCCCACCGGGAATTGAACCCGGAACCTTCTGCGTGGCAGGCAGTCATACTAAGGCTGGCTTTTACTTGACTTATACGCGTAGGTGACCATCTTGCTTTTCGGACAATCAGGTGGTTCAGCCTGCAATGTCCTAACTAGACTGGAAACAATTTCACAAAGTGATAAATATCAACTTTGTGAGTGACCCCACCGGGAATTGAACCCGGAACCTTCTGCGTGGCAGGCAGTCATACTAAGGCTGGCTTATACGTGACTTATACGCGTAGGTGGGTGGTTATTTCCGTAAATGTCAAGACAAGACGGTAAACGTGGGGTAAATATTTATCAAATCGCACTTTATTTGACATAGAGATGAAAGCTTATTGTTCCTTCTGACAATTTGCGATATTGTGCTAAAGTTTTTGTTTAATTTGACACGTTGTACCTAAGTAGGTAGATGTTAAAGGTATATAAGGTAAAACTTCCCTACGGCAATTTCAGTCATAGAATTTAGATCAAACTTTCGGAAAGAATCCTTTGATGTTGTTCGTACCTACTTACTTTCTGACTGAAGTTTTGGGATGTAGCCAGCTCTCTCTCTCTATCTCTCTCTCTCTTTCTCTTCGTGTGGGACACCGAGTATTCAACGACCCGATGAACCTTGGTGTAACTAGCTTATAAATACCATCGTGCCATCTCTTACTCGTAGGTGTCAGAAGAGGCGACTAAGGGACTTGAGGTTTTCTCTGTACGCTACAATTTCAGGCTTATTTTAAAACCGAAAACTGTAGCTTTGTGAATTTTGGTGAAAATTGACACGACGCACTATATTTACCAAACCGAACCAAAAAATATAGGTAAGCCTGTTTTGAAAAGCCGTAGAACAGTGGGCTTCCCACGGGACCCCAATTTTTTAGCTAAAAAACACGTTTCCGCTGAAAAACTAACACTGAGGGAAAACTAGTAAAATGTGGGTTTCGTGTTGATTATCTAACAATCTATCGAGTTGTTACACTAATAAAAACATGATGGCTGCACTCGCTTTATGAGCAAATAAATAATAAACTAAGCTGGATGTATTGGTTTTCGTCTTTACAAACAATAATCATTTGTCAAATGTCTTGTTTTTTTACCAAGATTACTTATTGCATTTAATACTGGTGCAATGTGAAAATACCTATTATATTTCTCTTGCACTTGCACCCTTAGAATCTAACAGATACTTATGCCGCAAAGTACATCATCGTTTCGGTGAACATGGTGTAAAATTATTTCCCCAACGCATACGATAGCGCTACGCAAAAATAACGCACGTTACTGTATTCCTCACCTTCCATCAATTTTTTTTGGAGATTAACATTGTGATTTCTGAATTTTCTGAAATATGATCAATGTAATTTGATCCAATTGATGTGCACCGCAGAGAAACATATCTTCATTTTCACAAAAAACGTGAAGAATTTTGACGTAAGGTGTAGGTAGGTAGAAAATTGGATGACGTCACGGTAAACATCATACATCATATATAAGCCTACGTAATGGTGCGTAAGTACTATCGCCAGAAAAATCACCTACCCATGTAAGGGATCAACTTATTTTGGTTTTTATAGTTGTAGATAGGTAGTATCACCGCAACCATGCGTTTGGCAATAGTCGACAGATATTCAGCCGAGGTCAAAAACTTTACGTCGCCTTTTACGAAATATCTTGAGTGGGCTAGGGGTGGCAGTATTCTTAGCCGCTATCACAGACCTACTTTAATGGTATTCGTCATAATGTGGACTAACCAGGTAGTAAAGTTGTAAATAATTTCTACAGATGTCGCTAGATCGTTGGAGACGAGCATCAAGATATAGAAAATTTGGCATTCATCAACCGGTGCATCGATAGCTCAGTGGCAGAGTGGTGGGGCGTTAACCTAATTACCCATGCGATCCGGGTTCGATCCCCGGTCGATGCCTGACATTTTTTCTATTTCTTATTTTCATACTTTAATGGTATGGTAGGTATGTTACGTATGTAGGTACATGATACTCGTAGTGCATAAAGTGAGTCTTCCGTGTCCGCTATCAGCCCATCTCACCCTAACAACTTGATAATTGTACCGCGAAACGAACAGCCGGGCTAGTACTTGCAACTAGTTATTCTTCTTCTTTTCGTGTGGGACACCGAGTCGTTCAACGACCCGATGAACCCTGGTGTCACAGTTTTTCAACCACCTACTGCAAGTAGCAGGTATCACTTTGTGAATTTGTTCCCAGTCTGGTTAAGACATTGCAGACTGAACCACCTGATTGTCCGCAAGTAAGATGGTTCCGTGCTTCAGATGGGCACGTTAAGCCGTTGGTCCCGGTTGCTGTCTATGATGGCGGTCGTTACACAACCATGTCAGAGGCCTACTACTTGCAGGAGGCGATTGAAAAACTCTGACCCAGGGTTAATCGGGTTGTTGAACGACTCGGTGTCCCACACGAAGAGAGAGAGAGAGAGAGTACTTTACGTATGTACCTACATGATACTCGTAGTGCATAAAGTGAGGCTCCCGTGTCCGCTATCAGCCCATCTCACCCGGGAACACTAACTACTTGATAATTGTACCGCGAAACGAACAGCCGGGCTGTTGTGTGGTGCCGGCAGAGTAGAATAGCACCACCCTCTCTCTTCCCGTGGGGGTCGTAAGAGGCGACCGAGGGATAAATCCAACCCAAACAGCCAGGGACAACCGTATGGTGGCGGTTAATCCACCACAAAATCATTCCCAAGGAGGGTTGACGTCGTAGTTTCCAATTCAACAATACCAAAAGTGATCGAGAAGTGTTTTAAAATTTGGTATTCGATGCTATTCTAAGCCGTAAAAATAACAATATTTAAAAAAAAAACCGTTACTTAAAATGTAAAAAAAAACATAGAAAATCCTCAGAGGTCAATCATAATATTGTATAGTCAAAAGTCAAGGTGAAAATTCTACATAACACTTGCCTTTACTTTGGTTTATTTATGATAAAAATTCTTAAAGCTAAAAGTAAAAATAAAAAGTAGTCATGAAGATACGAACCATAACATCCGTGATTGCTATTCCGCTATCATAACCAATCCGCCACTCGAGCAATTAACACTGAGTCCGAAATTTTGTTACCCATTTTACTATTAGTCAAATATTCTTATATATATGTCGCAGCCAACTGGTTAAAAACGCTGTGTAATTAAACAACTAGATCTTTAATCAAACGCCGCCATCTAACCAAACAACTAGATCACTGGCTGAATTTTGAAGCATTCCAAACGTTCAACACAGCGGCGGACCGAAAACCCGCTGTTTAATGGAATAAGTACGTTTTTACGCCACTGCGGCGCTAGAGTCGGTTTGTTTACAAGATGGCGTCAGCGGCACAAAAATCTACACCGTATTTTGTGATTTTATGATAAATAATCCGTAATTTGCGTAAACAGTGCTGTTTTTTATGATTATAAGTGATGGGGGCGCCTACGGGGGAAACGTCCGACCAAAAGTTCAAACAGTTGTTTGAAGAAACACTGAGAAACTACGAAATCCAACATCAAGGTAATTTTGTTTTTATTACACGAATATTGAGCCATTAAATGTTTATTAAACTGTCACAAACCTAATAAAACATGGGTAATTCGTTACGTACTCATTCAATTTGCAGTATCTACTAATTTTCGATGAAAATAGAGTGATGTGAACGAAGGTACTTACAAAGTATAAAGCCAATACAAACTGCAGCGGGATTCGAATGGTTACTTGGGTAGCGTAGTGGAACTCAATTACTTGACAATATGTACCAGTCACAATACCGCGTACCCACGTACAGAGCCGGTTCCGCTCCGGTTTGCATAACTCATGCTCGGGGCTAGACTGTAGGGGAGACTGGGGTTGCTTGCACTAGGGGGGCGGCAACACAAATGACACTTTTTCAAAATTTTCTTAGTGTTTCTCACTGGTTGAGGTGTTTGAAACGGGGCTGCCTGTAAATAGAAAAAAAATACCCTCTCCTTTCCCCCTCTACAATAGGCCCCCTTGGGGTCATATTGACCCCTCTTTTTTATGACGGGAACGTACAAAGTTGCTCATCAGCAACAATGTTTACTTAGAACACTTTTCTCTGGAGGCCCAAAATCGGTCAGAGGCCCCTAGGGCCCCGTTAAAGGATCCAATGGACCCCTCGATTTTTTGACGGAAATGGGTAGAGTGGCTCATATACAACAACTTTTATCTACAAAGTTTTCATCTGGGATGCCTAGATTAGCATGTAGGGCCCTACAGTCTTAATACTGGGACTTAAAAAATAATTCGACCTGTGGGTCGCCATGATGACCTACAATTTTTTGACCGGGAATGGAAAAGGTTGCTCATCAGTAACAACATTTGCCTTAAACACTTTATTCTGCGGCTTTAAATCAGCCGGTGGTCCCTAGGGGGGGGCCTTAAAATGTCATAATGGACCCCTCCATTTTTTGACGGAAATGGATTGAGTGGCTCATATACAACTACTTTTATCTACATTTTTTCATCTGGAGGGGCCTAGATTAGCTTAATCTAGGCCTTTTATGGCCCTGGTGACTACTGCCTGTTTTTGAGGCCGCAAAAAAAGTGTTCTACGCAAACGTTGTTGATGATGAGCAACCTTTTCTATTCCCGGTCGAAAAATTGTAGGTCATCATGGCTACTCACAGGTCGAATTATTTTCAAGTTCCAGTATTGAGGCTGTAGGGCCCTACAAGCTAATCTAGGCCTCCCAGATGAAAACTTTGTAGATAAAAGTTGTTGTATATGAGCCACTCTAGCTATTACTGTCAAAAATCGAGGGGTCCATGGGATCTTTTAACGGGGCTCTGGGGGCCTGTGACCGATTTTGGGCCTCCAGAGAAAAGTGTTCTAGGTAAATATTGTTGCTTATGAGCAACCCTGTACATTCCCGTCAAAAAAAGTACTTATTCAAAGCTTTCCAATTTTTCCCCGCTGTAACATAATTTAGGATAATTGACTGTAGATTGATTGTTGTATCACTAATTTTCAGGATCATTCCGGAAACCGTGGACCAACGAAAGGATTCATGAAGTGATATCAAATGTAAAAGTTGCAAGGCTCTCCATGACGAATAAAGAGTTCAGGACTTCTATGACGTATTATTGGCTTTCAAAATACGATTTGATGACAACAGGAAGTGAAGAATATCTTATATTTAAAAGACAAAATTCTGATGATCCTGTGATACGAATCATACCTCGAGAAGAGTATTTTAATATGCTGTATACTTTGCATAAAGATTGTGGACATGGAGGTAGAGACAAGATGGTGTACAGTGTCAAAAATCGATACTATATAGCAAAGAAAGCCATAGAAATATTTGTTTCTCTTTGCCCTACGTGCAACACTAAAAGAAACATTCCCAGAAAAGGTATTGTGACACGACCAATTGTCTCACAAGATTTTAATATTCGAGGACAAGTTGACCTGATAGACTTTCAGTCTTGCCCCGATGGTGAATATAAATGGCTACTCAACTACCAAGATAACGCAACAAAATTTTTGAACCTCCGTCCCTTAAAGACAAAAATGGCCCGTGAAGTAGCAATGGAGCTAATGAAAATATTTTTGATTTTCGGCGCTCCGTATATTTTGCAATCTGATAATGGACGAGAATTTACGGCAAATGTGATCAAAGAGTTAGTTAAAATGTGGCCAGATTGCAAAATCGTGCACGGAAGTCCAAGACGCCCTCAAACTCAAGGCAGTGTTGAGCGTAGTAACCAGGACGTGGAGAATATGATTCGTTCTTGGATGATGGATCAAAATTCTACCAACTGGTCCATTGGCTGCCTTTTTTGCCAATACCAAAAAAATGCCTCATTTCACCGAATAATCGGGAGGTCTCCTTACAAAGCATTATTCGGGGCTGATCCTAAGGCTGGTTTGAGCGGTACTAATATACCATCCCAATTGCTGGCAAACATCGAAACAGAAGAACAGTTAAAAAAACTGACCGATGAACCTTCTGATGATAGCACTATTGTCCTACATCAACCTCTGAACACAGACGGAATCTTGAGTGCAAAAATTGATTCTTATGAAATGACTTCAACTGCCTCAGAAACTGGACATACTACACCAAAATTAACACAAAATAATGACATTCAAATTGCTACAACATCACACCAAAATCTTGGAGGCCCTGCAAATTGTGAAATGACATCTACTGAAGCAAAAGAAACACTTACACAACCTGACGATTTCTCCGAAAATATCAACGAGCCAGACCAAACTAATGAAGGGAATAATAATGAAATTATTCAGATACCGACAGCTGAGGCTAGTTTATCTTTTAAAATGGGTGATAATGATTCTGCAAACATTGATAACACAAACCAAGGAGAATCATCTAGTCTTTTAGAGAGGATAGAAAACATTGAACCGAACTTAATTTGTGTAATATGTCAGAAACCTACTACAAATGCTCATAGCTGTAGATCTTGCGATGGTGCTGTCCATGTCATATGTGGATTATCCGAAGAAGAGGAAGAAGGTTTTGGTTCCAAAATATTGTGTTTTAGATGCAAGTCGGAAGAAAACATTAAGTTTCAGAGAAATGAAGCCCACAAAAGCCTCAAGCGTGCAGCTGAGAAAATGATTGAGAACACAGCAAAAAAACTGCCTTCTCTAGCTCTCGGCAATACTGTCTTAATAAGTGTACCCAAAGTTGATCGTGGTCCTTTGGACACTAAAAATGTGAAAGGCAAAATAGTTGATTTTAGAAATGGGGTTTACAGGGTAGGTACGAAAACAGGAACGATAAAAAATTGGTTTTCGCGCCAAGAGCTGCACATATTAATGGAAAGCTATGATGACGACATATTAAATACTCCAATATCTTTACGAGAAGCTGTGGCTAATGAATCAATGTTTGGAGGTCAAGGATTTCAAAGATGTTCGTGTAAACC